CTGTCTCCACCACCAGATGGACTTGGGACTTCCCTGCCCCAGAAACTGTAAGCAATAAATTTTGTTTTCTTATAAATCATCCAATTCCAAGTATTTTGTTATACGCAACAAAAACAGAGTAATACACCTCCCAAGGGTGACCAGGGGCCCTCCAACCTGCAGCTCAAGTGGGACAGGGAGCAGAGATGGCAGGCAGCGGGCCCGGGGCCACAGCCCTCCATAGACACCAGTGGAGACAGACAGCCAGTGGGCCCCTGTCCCCCTGTGGGGACATTTACTTTTTCCCTTTGTCAGGCATTCTTTTTCTCCAATTTGTTTCTTCTTTTTGCACAAATGCGTTGTTTTGAAACACTCGGCACTGTTCTGAGATTTCAAAGTCACAGCCAGCAGCCAAACACAACATACTTTTGTGAATATAACAGTTCATGGGGGTACTCAAGTACACCGGGAAAATTAGAAAAACATAAAAAGCAGCTTTAAAAATCCATAATCCCTGCGTAGAGATAAGGGCTGAGTATTTTGGCCTCCTTCTCTCAGCTCAAAAGAGTTTGCACTTTTATTCTCTTTTATATGTGGTTCTGAAACCCAGTTTTTCACTAATATTATCCCAAGCGTGTTCCCGTGGCATTCCTTTGTATTCCCAAAGGCTGCCCGAAGCCAGGAGGTGAGGCCTGCTGGGGTTTGGACTCGAATCTGCATGTGGTTCTGAAACCCAGTTTTTCACTAATATTATCCCAAGCGTGTTCCCGTGGCATTCCTTCGTATTCCCAAAGGCTGCCCGAAGCCAGGAGGTGAGGCCTGCTGGGGTTTGGACTCGAATCTGCTGGGGAAACACTGTACTTTGGCTCAGAAGAGAAAGCAGTTTCTCCTCTGACCTCTCCAGTCCCAGAGGAACCCCCAGGCTGTCCCTGGCTTAGGGACAGTTTGCACTCACAACTTGAAGGAAGACAGGGGAGAAACTGAGGCCCAGAGAGAGAATACTTGCCCTGCACAAAGTGAGTTGGTGGAGAGGTGGATCAAAGTCTGGTGATTGGACGAGACCCCAAGGGGCCTGAGCTGAGCCCGGGTCAGGGCTGGTAAGAGGACCCAGCATGACCTCTGCCCCAGGAGGCTCCCTGCGGGTGACGGCAGACAGGAAGACCTCCTCATGGTGGGCAGCCTCCCTGAGGGCCCACAGCAGCCGACTGTCCCAGGGACAGCCCTGGGGCCCTGTGACACCCATTGTCAGAGTCATCTCCCCAAACAGGCCCTTCTTCTGCTGTCCTCGGCTCACTTCCCCTTGATTCACTGGGCTTCATGGCCAAGGTCGATGGGCACCCACTGTGTAACTGGGAGCCCCTAGGGGTGGGCTCAGCCACTCTACTCCCTGCTTAGTTCAGGGTCCGTGGGACCTGGGGATCCCCCTTTGGGACTGGAGAAGGCACCCTGCCCAGGAAAGTGGAGCCCAAAGAAAGTGTAGTCCCTGCACCCTCTCCTGGGTTCTATCTGGGGAGGGGGTTCCAGGTGGCCACCCCGCACCCACTGCCGACTGTCTCCCCTAGAAGGAGTACACTTCTCTGACCCTCCCAAGATGTGTCTGTTGGACCCCTGTTAGGGACCCCGTATGAGTGGAACCACACAGAACTTGTCTTTTAGTGATGGGTTTATTTCACTTGGCAAAATGTCCCTAAGTTCTAGCCATGTTGTGGCATGTGTCAGAATTTTCTTCCTTTCTAAAGCTGAATAGTGCCCCACTGTATGGACACACCACGTTTTGTTTATCCGTCTGTCGGTCAGTGGATGCTGGCGCTGCCTCCACCTGCTGGATATGCAGGTGCTGCTGCGATGGACGTGGGGCTGCAGACGTCTCTTTGAGATAGCGGCTTCAGTTCCTGCAGGTATACACCCAGGCGTGGCATTGCTGGACCATTCGGGGTTCTACTTTAAGTTTTTGAGGAGCTGCTGTGCTGTGTCCCACAGCGGCTGCACCATTTTACAGTCCCACCAGCAGCACACAAGCGTTCCAAGTCTTCCACGTCCTCACCTGTGCTTGTTATTCATGTGTCTTTGATAGCTGCCGTCCTAATGGGCATGAGGTGCTATCTCCTTGGGGTTTTGATTTGCATTTCCCTAATGATTAGTGATGTTGAGCATCTTCTCATGTGCTTATTGGCCATTTGTGTGTCTTTGGAGAAATGTTTACTCAATTCCTTTGCTCATTTTTCAATAAGGTGTTTATTTCTTTGTGGCTGAGTTGTAGGAGTTCTTTATATATTCTGGATTTTTTTAAAATAAAATATAATTTTATTAATATTATTTTTTACATTCTAGGATGTTATTGTGGAGCAGCTGGGAGGTGGGGAGAGGGGAAGGGGGAGGGAAATGGGATGGAAGAAGGAGGAAGGAGTTGGGGTGGGGTCAAGGCCTGTGGCACCCCCTCATTCCCACAGGGGGTACTGGGGGCTTTCAGCAGTGCCTTGGTCAATGCCAGGCTGGGTACAGATATTGGGGATGTGTGGCAAAAGCCCTCACACCCCACCATCCCAGCTTAGGAACCCGGGGCCCTTCTTGCTGCAGCTTGGTGGTCGTAGCTGGGCTGGTTGGACATGTCAGGGGGGCATGGTCCAGGCCCTCGGCCCCCCACTGCCCCAGCTCAGGAGAACCCAGGGCACTTCCTGCAGGGGCTCAGTGGTAGTCACTGGGCCGGCTGCAGGTGCCCAAGGCCTCCCACCACCCCAGCTCAGTGGTTACTACTGGGCTGGTTGTGGGTGTCAGGGGGACATGGCTGAGGCACTCGGCCCCCACCACCCTGGCTTGGGAGAGCCCAGGGTGCTTCCTGAAGTGGCTCGGTGGTTATCACTGGGGTGGTTGTGCGTGTTAGGGGGGTGGGCCAAGGCCTTCCTCCCCTACCCTCAGGACTGGTTGTGGGTGTCAGGGCATTGCTGAGGCCCCCGGCTCTCCCCACTTTCTGGCTTGGTAGCCCAGGGGACTTCCAGTCCTTCTAGGTGTTATAGGTGTTCTTTGGTGAAATAAGACCTTTACTAGTTAATATCAAACTTTGTCTCTGGTTTCAGGTATTTTGTTTTTTCTTTCAGTTCTGTGTTGGATTATTTGCTGTTCCCACCACTTAAACTCTGCACTGGAACTAATTTTTTGTCCTTTGCTTACTTCTAAAATGGAGGAACATCCTGTGGGGTCCAGCACTTGAGCTCTGTCATTGAGCTAAATTGCTGCTTTGCTGCTGATTCCATATGGAAGGCTTTTTGTGCAGTTCAGATTTAATGGTTGACTTTATTGGTACTTCCGGATCTAGTGAAATCTGTGCACCTGGGTTGTGTAGAAACTCTGGTCTGGGCCTGAGTCTTTTCATCAAACTGCACCCCATGCAATTCTATGTTCCTGACCAGTCTCCTCTGAGTGGTCGGTCCTGTACTGATTGGGGTTGGGCAGATTGGCTGACCTTGCTGTGTCCCAGTGTTCCCTCAGTAGCCCTGTCTCCCCCACCACCCGTGCTCCAAACACTTCCCATGGGACAGGCCATGCTCCGGTCCCTTACAATGACTCACTGACCGCTGAGTGGTTCCTTTCTTTCAGTTGTTGCGGCTCCTTGGTCCTATGTGGGTCCACGGGAACCCTATTAGTGGTATTGCTGGCCTGAGGACCACCATGGCTCTTTTCTCCCCTGCAGCCTCCAGGCAACTTCATCTGAAGGGCACAGCTGCTGTTTTTGCCAGCTCCTGCTCCATGCGCTCAGCAGCTCCAGCCTGGAAGCAGCCGGAATTCAAAATGTTCAGAGCAGTTTTTTCTTTCTCTCATCGTGGCTTCTCCCACCTTCGTGAACTCCGTAGGTCTCTCCTCCTCTTCCCCTGAGCTCTAGCGGCCTCAGCTTGGCTGTCATTGCTTTTCCATAGTTGTAAATTGGTTGATTTGTGGGAGAGAGTGACACTGGGGACCACCTATTCTGCCATCTTTTTTTTTTTTTGTCTTTTATCTTTTTCCGTGTCCGGCAACGGATCGCAACCCTCAGTGTTGCCCCCGTACCGGACCGGGGACCGGCAACGGGATTGCAACCCTCGATGCTGCTCCTGCGCCTCGCTCAGCCAGTGAGCGGGAACCGGTCTGCATGTGGGATCCGAACCCTCGGGCGGGAGCGCCGCCGCGCTTCCCAAGCGGCACACTTATCCAGTGCGCCACCGGGCCGGCCCCCTATTCTGCCATCTTGATGAAGTCACTATATTCTGGATATTAAACCTTTATCAGATATGTGATTTGCAAATATTTTCTCCCATTCTGTGGGTTCTCTCTTGATCATGTCCAATGTGCAAAAGTTAAAATTTTTTTTTCTTTCAACACTTTCACGGTTGACAGGTCCCAGGCGCACAGGGGCTGCAGTGCTTCCGGCTTGCGTGTCTGTGGCTGAGGGGGCACTATGAAGTGGGAGGCGCTGATGGCCATGAGCAGGAATTGCTGCCCGAGGACCCCAGCCTCCTCTCCAGAGCATGAGCTCGGGCAAGAGCGCCCGCTACAACTTCTCCAGGAGGCTGCCAACCTTCCCAACCCAGACATCACCCCAGGACCACAATGGAAGTGATCATTGGACCTGCCACCATCACTAAAGATGGGGAAACTGAGGCCCAGTCACCAGGCAGCCAGTCAAAGCCCAGATCTTAAACCCAGACCTTTCGGGCTGATTGTTGTGACGTCTGAACGGCCACTCTAGGGGCCTCTGGTTGAGGGGGCGAGCCTCCTGTCCCAGAGCCTGCCTCCTGTATGGCCCGTGCGGTGGCTGTCTCTGGCTCCTGTGTGGACACTGACCTGCCTGGGCGTCCTGGCACCTTCCTTGGAGGAGGCTGGAAAGGCTGGGCCTATTTCCTGGTGCTGGCTATGCCGGGAAGGGATGGGAGACCCAGACCCCCAGGATGCAATCCAGGCCCTACCACACACCAGTTGAGGGACCTCGGCCTCTCTGTGCTTCAGTTTCCTCCTCTGGTGGGACCAGCACATGCAGACGGCACCGCAGGATGCCCTTCTCCTGCACACTTGCCTGTCATCCGCACGGAGGCCGTGCTGCCAGCCTGCTGCAGCTCAAGGCCCCCGTGGGCACCATATGCGGGCACACATTCTGCAGAAGACACGCCTTGAAGCTGGAGGAGTGTCCTGTGGACAAAGCCAAGCTGACGGTGCTGGTGAACAGCATCATGGTGGCCAAGCAGATCGGGAAGTCTTCGTCCACAGCAGGCACTGCTGTCAGGTGGCAGGGGCCCTGAGGGTGTCCCTTTTCATCAAGCTCAGTGCCCAGAAGGACCACAAGGGCAGCTGTGACTAGAGCCCCATGTGGTGCCCCAACGACCCCAGCTGCCCCTCCCCCCCAAGACATGATCTGCACACAGACCCTGCTGTGCTACCAGGACAGTGTGACCATGCAGGCCATGTCCCGGGGCTGGCTCTTCTCCGGGGCTGTGGACAGCACCGTACAGGTCTGGACTTTCTAACCAAGCCCAGGCCCTGGCTTCCCGTGGGTCTTCCTGAGCCAGGCCGGCCACACAGGGTGGTCTTGGGTTTCCACCTTCCCCGTGGGGACAGGTGGACGGGCCAGGCAGCCGGGCAGCGCCCTTCCTGCCCTACGCTCGGCGAGCCTCCCTCTACTTGGCCCTGTCCTCCTTGCTGCCGGGACAATGCACAGGTCACTCTCTGGGTGCCAGACTGTGTAGACTTAAAAGCTGCACAGACTGTGGGGGAAAAAACAAGCATTTTCAAGAAGTTATACCTTTTGATGAAGTCCAACTCACCTACTTTTTGTTGCTGTTGTTGCTTGTGTTTTTAATGTCATATTTAAAAACCATCACCAAATCCAAGGTCATAAAGATTTCCCCTTGTGTCTTCTAAGAGTTTTATAGTTTTAACATTGTTTTTCTTTTACAGATTGTGCCTTTGGTTTTATGTCTAAGAGTTCTTTTCCCAGGCTACGAGGAGTTTAGGTTTTCATCTAAAAATTTTGTAGAGTTATAGTTTACATTTAGACCTAAGACTCATTTCGTATTAACTTTTGTATAAGGCATGTGGTTGAAGTTGAGACCCTCCCTTTTTTTCTGTGTATGAATGTCCGATTGTTTCGACGCTCTTTGTTGGACGGACGGTCCTCCCTCTGTTGACTTGATTTCGCACCTTTGTCAGAGATCAGGTAGTGAATTTGTGTTGTTCTGTTCTGGATTCTATAGTTCAAATGACCTATGTGTACATCCCTTTGCCAATAAATACTACCCTGCTTATAGTGAGCCTTAAAATTGGGGGCTGTGACACCTTCAACTTTAGTCTTCCTTTTCAGAATGGTTTAGACTGTCCTGGTTTCTTTGTTTTTCCAGACATTTTAGAATCAGCTTGTCTATATCTTGTCACAGATTGTCCCGACGGCGAGATACCAGGGAAGAAGCAACGCCAGGTCAGGGGTGCTTTGGGTTCTGGTCTTTCCTCATCCACCTGCTGCTGTTTGCTTCCCGGAGCCTCAGGTGTCTGCCCTGCGCCTGCTGTCAGGTTTTGCAGCTGCAGTCCCCAGGAGAGGCAGGGTGGGTCTGGCTGATCCGTCTTCCCTGGGACAGGAACCCTCTTGTTAATTTTTAATAGTGTGATAATGGTATTGTGGTTATACAAAAGTCCTTACCTTTTAGAGATACAAACAGAGGTATATATGGATTAAATGATTTTTTTAGAAACCACAATGAGAGACTAAGTTTTAAAAGTATATCAGGCTAGCAAAGACCAAAAAGTTTGGTAATGGGAAGGCAGATGCAGGGTGGTTTGCACCTGTCTGCAGCCAGACTTCCCGGGTTGCAGTGCCCGCACCCCCAGCTAACTGCAGCTTGGTATTAATAAACTCTCCCCTGGGGAGCAGAGAGGACAATGTGAGCCGGAACGGAGCCACTTGGCAAGGGCCCGCGATGCCTGCTCTTGAACACGGCTGTCTGTCATTCGCCCTGGGGTATGGGGAGACAGACCCTGCTGGAGTGGCCGGTGGCCAGAAGGGTGCCACTCCGAGGGGGGGGCTCTCCCTGTTCCAGTAGCTTAAGCTGCCACCAATTGGCAGTACACTTCCTGTGAAAGGTTCCCACATGCTCCCACATGAGGGAAGTCACTGCAGGGTCATGGTGACAAACGACAAAGTCCAGGAAACACCTAAGTGTTCATCCGCAGGGACGCATTCCACCCATCAAGGTACAGTCTTATTTAGAACAGAATCCTGTGCAGCTGCTAAGAAGAATGGGCGATCTCTCTTGCTCTGTCGTGGGAAGATCTATACATCAGGGTGCCGAGGCAAGAGGTGGCGGCTACTGTTTGTACTAAAACAGAAGCCCACACATACCCACGTGGGGTGTGTGGTTCTGTGTGCTCAGACTCTGCAGAGGCCCCAGAAACGGGCAATGGCAGGTCCTCAGAGAGAAGAGTGGGTAGGTGGGGGGTGCGAGGGTGACTCCGTTTTCACTGAATGTCTTTTCTTACCTTTTGACTTTTATAACATCTACATGTATTACCTTCTCAAAAGAAGTTGAAAATAATACTCTAAAAAAAGAAAAACAGTCCATACTGCCAAAGTGACCTATGGACTTAATGCGATCCCTATCAAAATTCTGGTGATGTTTTCCACAGAAACAGGAGAAACAACCTTAAAATTCATAGGGGATCACATAAGACCTCAAATAGCTAAAGCAATCTTGAGAAAGAAGAACAGACGGCTCCACACTCCCTGGGTTCCAACTATCTTACAAAGCTTCAGTGATCAGAACAGCATGGTGCTGGCATAAAAACAGACATGAACACCAGTGGAAAAAAGCCCAGAAATAAACCCACAAATACACAGTTGCTGTGGTTTGACTGTGTGTCCCCTTCAAAACTGATGTTGACA